GGGGACAGTGAGAGATAGGGGGACAGTGAGCGATGCAGCCCAGCAGCACGGGGGGGGTTGGGGTTGGGGTTGGGGTTGGAGCGGGGCTCCCTGCGCTCCCTCCCAGCCTCCTGGATCTCGGGGCCCAGGTCAGCAGCAGACATGGCGGGGTGGCACTGGGGGTCGTCATTCCTTCCTGGCCCCGAATGAGGGCGCTTCCAGCGCTCCGTGCCACCCTCACGGCTCTGTGACACCTTTAGCAGCACGGAGCCATGTATCATGGAGGGGCTCCGCCACGTTGTCCCCAAGGACGCTGCAGGGGACCCCATCCCTCCTCCCGCGTTGGATCTGAGCCGCGTCTGCGCCGCTTCCACGCTGGGCTCCAGGCAGCGCAGCAGCCCTCGCAGCACCGCGGCTCTTAAGCAATCAGTGCAGGCGGCTCCTCGTCCCGCCTCCTCCCCGCAGAGCACAGAGCGCCGCCGCCAGGCTCCTGCAGCTCCGTCCCAACGAGGGCAATCGCAGCCCGTCGCATCTCTGCGCCTCCGTGAGGACGGCGTCTGCCTGCGGGGTTCCGTGCTGCTGGGAGCAGCGGAGCAGCAGGCCTGGAGCGCTCGGCCCTCCTCAATGCACACGGGTGGATGAAAGCTGCCCCCAGGGAGCTGCTTCTGCCCCTGGAGCCCACTGGAACTTGGGGAACATGGAGCTGGGTGCTCCACGGGCTCCTCCTGCCCCCCGTCTGCCTTCCCAGCCCTGCAGTTGGCCTTGGACGGAAGATTAAACCCCTCTGACACAACTGCTGCAAAGATCAGCAGAACAACTACGGCAGTGAATGGAAAACGGGAATGGAAAGGCTGCGGTCAGAGCACAGAAAGGAAGAAAGCAAAAAGGCCGTGGCTGTGAGCAGAGCCGCTCGCTGTCTGCTGAGGCCGACTGGGAGCGATGGAGCAGCTCTGGGAGGAGCAACCTGATCCAGAGCCCCAGTGCTGGGGATTATGATCTCCTAAGATCACAAACCGAGGGGTTAAAGGCTCAGCAGTGAAGGTGGCGTGCAGCTACAGCAGGGCTCAGATGCTGTGACAACGTAGCTCCATCCTGGCACGGAGCTCCAGGCCCAAACCTTCGCACCCCGACTTCCCCATGTGCAGAGCTGAGGATCCACGGCGCAGGGCAGAGCTGCAGTGCGGGAGGAACCCAGGCACCCAGGGCCTGAGCCGGGTTTGCCCTCCTGCCCTGCACCAGGTTTGCTCTCCTCCCTGCACCAGGTTTGCCCTCCTGCCCTGCACCAGGTTTGCCCTCCTGCCTTGCACCAGGTTTGCCCTCCTGCCCCGCAGCCCCGCTTTGCGCCTTTAAGTGAGAAATCAGCCGGCGTTTGGCCGCGGCTCGTTTGTGACTCTGCCACGGAACGGAACGGAAAAAGAAAGTCCTCCCACAGCTCCTCTGGGGCTCGAAACGCTCCGTGCAAACAACGCCCACCGCATGGGAGGGGAATCCTGAGCGAGGAAAATCTGACCCGCGATCCCCGACGGCGCCCTGCGTCCCTCAAAGGGCGGCTGCAGCCCGGCGGGGCTCCCGCTGCTCTGCTCTGCCCCCATGGCGGCACGCAGACGCGCTCCCCGCTCAGCGCCGCTCTTCCCCTCCGGCAGCCGAGGGCGCAGCAGTGAGCGCTGCCCTCAGCAGGGCACAGCCTGCACCCGGCTGCCCGGGGAGCCCTGCTCACAGCCTGGCCGCCCCGGCACCACGCAGCTGGGAGCCGCGGATTCCTTGCGTCCCCCCGTGGCCAAGTGCAGCCTGCGCCTCCCGCGCTCACGTACCCAAATCTGCGTCTGTGCTTTTCTTCATGTCCTTCTGAAGCTTTTTGGTCTGCTCTTCCAGCCTGAAAGATGGGAGAAGGAGGCAAAGTCTGAATCTTGGAAAGCAACAGACCTTTGTGCGCTGCTGAGACAAAACCACCCAGAGCGGCTCTGCAAGCACAGAGCTGCCGGCCCTGCTGCTCCACGGCTCTCAGCCCTGCACTTCGGTGCTCCCTTATTCAACAGCCCCCAAATCCTGCCCACAAACAGGAACTGCAGGCGCTCCTTCCCCCACTGCAGGGGCAATGCTCAGAGTGCTGAGCTCCACCGCGATGCTCTGAGATGAGGGGGATGTTTGCTCCCGGTCCCCAAAGCTCAGCCCAGCAGAAGCGCGCGGCCCTCAGGAGCTCCAGGGTTACGGGGGCAGCCAAGGGGCCCAGCAGAGCCGTGCCACCGCTCCCGACCCGGCCCCACGGCCAATACTCACTGCTGCAGCTTCCCATATTCCCTCTCAAAGTCTCTCTCCACCTGCAGAAAGAAGAGACAGAAATCAGCTGCGCTGTGGGGCGGAGGGCAGCGCTCTGTCTGCCCCACAGCGGCAAAGGGAGCCCACAGCTGCCCCTCCTGCGCCCCCAAAGCAGCTCCATGCCACGCTGCAGCTGCAGCCCCCCAGCCCTGCCTGCCCCCACCGCAGCACCGCCAGCTCCCCCCTGTTTGCATCTGGCAGAGGAGAGATTTTGAGGAGCCTTTCCTTCCACGCTGCCTGTTTTAACGCACATTTAAAACATTCGTTCCACACCTCGTCGACCGAATAAGCGAACGGATTTCAGCTGACCGGGCCAAGAGCAAATCTGTGCCTCGTCGTCACGGGACCAAAGCTGGGCCGCTTCGTGCTGAGCTGCCAGCAGCCCAACCTGCGTGCGGAGCTCGGCTCTCAGACCTGGGCTCAGCGCACGAAACCCCACAGGCCGGCGCCTTCCAGGCTGCAGCTGGCGGAGCAACGCTCCAACACGGAGCTCAGCAGCCTCCCTTCCTCTGCTCCACTGCTGTGCGCTCCCCCAGCTCCCCCCCCAGAACCAGGGGGCCGCGATGGCCGGATGCCCACAGTGCCATGGGCTGAGAGGTGCTCAGAGCCCGCAGGGCTGGGAGCATCGGGGACCCCACGGCGCTGTGGGTCTGGCGCAGCTCGGGCCTCGCAGTGGGGTCAGGAGCCGCGGGGTTTGGCGCAGCCCCAGCGCGGCGCTGCTTGCAGACAGCTGCCGGCACCACCGGCTCCCACCATCCCAGGGATGCACATGGATGAAAAAGCTCCGCCGAGCTCCGGCTGCCCTTTGCACTGCTAAAAATGGTCACTGGAGCACAGGGACGGAGCGGTGTGGGGGCAGACGGAGCCGCGCAGCTGCCGGAGCCTGGAGGTCAGCTCGGCAGCAGCCGGGGAAGCAGCACCCTGTGTTTCTACGGCTGCAAAAATAACCGCCGAGTGCCGCGCTCTATTTATACGTCTGATGTGTGAATTGTTTGGGATGCGAGCACCGAAGGGTCGGCGTTGACTCACAGCGGTGTCCTTTGGAGGGCGGCGGGTCCTGGCAGGGAGCTGCAGAGCAGGGAGGGTCCTGCTGGCACCGCTCCGCTCGGCTCCTCCAAAACGCCTCCTCCAAAAAGCAGCGGCCTGCAGGGCTTTGCAGCCCCTTCCCTCCTGCCGTTGGCTTCCTGCCGCGCAGGGCGAGGAACGCGAGGCAGCGGCGCCCAATGGAAGGGCAGGGAAACTTCTGCAGCCCTCGAGAGGAAAAACTCCAACGCTGCCCCCGGCGCAGGATGACGGAGGTCGGAAAGCTGCCAAGATGCCCGAGTCCAACCCCAACCACAAAGGAACCACGAAGGGTGCAGGGGATCATCAAGAACCCCAACCCCGACCCGTCCCACCGTGCCCACAGAACCACGGAGGGTGGAAAAGTCCATTGAGGTGCAACCCCAGCCCACCGCCACCGTGCCACAGAGCCACCGGGGTTGGAACACACCACCAACATCACCGGCTCCAGCCCCCACCTGCCCCACTGCGCCCACAGGACCATGGAGCTCAAAAAGAACGGCCCAGATCACCCAGTCCAACCCCAACGCACCCCCCCCTGCCCCCAGAACCACGGAGGCCAAAGAACGACCACCAGGAACACACCAGGCGGGGTCACCTTCCTCGGACATGCCCAGAACCGCAGCCCCCCGTGCCGCAGCCCCGCTGTTCTGAGCACCTCCGAGGAAGGTGACCCCGCCACCCCTGGGCGTCCCCTCCCATCTCACAGGGGACAACACGTCCCTGCGCCCTGCCATGGCACGAGGTGACAGCACAGCGCCCAGCTGCCCGCTCTGACTCCGTGCCACGTCTGCAGACAGCTGCCCAGAGCCTGCTCTTCTTTTTCACGCCCACAGCAGCAGCCGCCTCCCACTCAGCTCTATTCCCGGCCGCACGGATGGGGCCCGGAGAGGAGCCGGCCCTGCAGCACCCATGGGTGGAGGGCAGGGGGACGGCGAGGAGGACGAGCAGAGAGCAGGCCAAGCACGTCCTGCAAGGCACATTTGGCACGGCGTGCCGCTCCTGGTGGCAATCCTCAACATCACCAGGACCGAGGGCGAAGGCTGCGATAGGATTCTGAACCTATGCTCCTTGAGAGCAAAGAGGAGCAGGAGCACAGGCGACAAAGCCGCCACGTCCCAAGGGAAGATCCCAGCAGTGCCAACAGCCCCTGCAAACTCAGAATCCAACCCGCTTCCGCAGCGGGCGCCTCTCGTTCAGGGCATCCGTGCTGCTTCATGCAGGACGGCGCTTCTTAATAAACCCACATCAAGGAGGCCGAGTTCTCCTAAGGAAATGGTGCTCTCCTTTCTCAGCCACGTATTTCTGTTTGCCAACCCCGTTCCCCCCGCCGCCAGCAGCCCGGTGCTCGCAGGGCAGCATCGCCATCACTGCACCGCAGTGAAACCAAAGGCTGCCCTACAAAGGGATGGAAATAAGGGGCTGCGCTGGGGCTCCTCGCTCCCCGAGGTGAATTTCCCTTCCTAGAGGAGGACGCGCCGGTTCCTGCACGTTCTGATGGGCTGAGCTTCTCACGGGCGCTGGGAAAAAGCAGGAAGGGACTCTTCCTCCTCTCCCAGAAGCAGAGCTGTGTAATCAGGTCAAACTCTGCCATGCGGGGGAACTGCGCTGTGCCACGACCAAAGGAAAGGGTGGGCAAGGGAGAAGCAAGGACATCACGGTCCGGAGGGACCTCCAAGACCACCGACCAGCCAGCAGCGCAGCCCAGGGAACCATCGGGGTCGGAAAGGACACCAAGGTGACGAACGGACGGTTGGCATCCATGGAGCTGCCATGGCTGGATGCTCAGCCACGGAGCCCTGAGCCGCGGCGCTGAGCAGCGCACGGTTTGGGGCCGATGGCGTTTCCCCAGCCAGCAGCTGCGCAGGGCACCGAGGAGCCCCTCCAGCCCACGCTGCGTCCCACCGCAGAGCGTGAAAATGGTGAAAGGATTTGACTCGCCTGCCCCGATTTCACCCCACAACTTCTGCGCCATTTCCTCCGTCGTTACTCGCAGATTTCCAGCGCTCTGCTGGAGCCCAATGGAAACAGCGGGGCGGACGGAATCCTGCTGCTCTGCCCGACCCGGGGAGCACAGGGCTGTTGGATGAGCCCATGGCCCCCGGCCCGCCAGGTCAGCAGAGCAGCACAGCTCCCCGTGAGCCAAGGGAGGGCAGGCTGGAAGCTGGGGGAATGAGGGGCCGCGCTCCCGTTCCCCATCCCAACAGGTGGGAGCCGGCCGGTGCCGTGCGGCTCTGAGCCCCACAGGGACACGTGGCACCTCCTCCCCATCTCGGATCACCCAGCCCTGGCCAGGAGCGCAGCACGGCCTCGAGGGGACGCCGGTGAACTTCACCGAGCGCTGGAGCTGAGGATAAGCACGGCTCTGCTTCCCGCATCACCTCTGCTCGGCCCCGGGGAGCATCGCTGCCATAAGAGGCTTCATCTGCGCACGGGGTTTGAGCAGGAAGCGTTCGGCACGGAGGGATTCGAGCAGGGTTAAGTCCCATCAGCGGGCATTAGTTCCAAGGGCTGCACCCCCGGCACGGAGCCCCCCCAGCTGGCGCCAGCTGCTCCCGGCAGGGGAGAGGAGGGGAGAGATTACGCCGTCTGCAAGAGGATTTGCCCAGGTTAAGGTGCAAACGGAGCAGCGGCCGTCTGGGGGGCGGCAGCTCACCCCGGCTGACCGGGCGGCGCTCCGTGCTGGGGTTCCCTTCCCGCAGGGCCGACACATCGCCCTGCTGCAGAGCCTCAGAAGCCACGGGGAGCTGTGACGAATCCCCCTGCAGCCTCAGCGCAGCGCCTCGCAACTGCAGCCGGCCCAGGAAAAATGTTAACTGGAGAGCAGCAAAAGGCGCTGTGGGGAGCTCAGCCTCCTGGCACAGCGCTGCTCTCCGGTTACAAACCGCACCGCGAGCCACAGCGGGGCAGCTCCAGCAAATGCCTTTCCTTTTTAACCTCCCCAGCGCCCAGAGATCGGCAGCCAACTGACCCAACTTCTCTTCTGTAGGGAAGGAAGGGCGGATGGGGACAGGCCTGGGAATGGCAGCGCAGAACGAAGCTCTGCTGCGGGATGCTGAGAGCTGTTCCATGCAACACACCGTGTGTGTGTGTGTGTGTGTCTGTGTGTCTGTGTGTGTGTGTGTGTGTCTGTGTGTCTGTGTGTCTGTGTGTCTGTGTGTGTCTGTGTGTGTGTGTGTGTGTGTGTGTGTGTGTCTGTGTCTGTGTGTCTGTGTGTCTGTGTGTGTCTGTGTGTGTGTGTGTGTGTGTCTGTGTCTGTGTGTCTGTGTGTGCAGCGCCTGCCGGCTGCCTCTGCCCCCATCCCCACGCCTCCCATGGCTTCGTGCACAGTGTGCGGCCTGCTGTGCTGCCCCAGCCCAACCCCCAGCAGGAGAGGGCGAAACCAGCAGGACAAAAAGCAAAATTGACCCAAATGTGGGGCCGGGTGGGATGGAGGCGGCTCCCAGGGCAGGCAGTTCTGGAAGCAGGCACTGCGAAGAACAGGAGGCAAATCTCCGAGTCCTGGGGGCTGCTGGAAAGCAGAAATAAATGGGGACAAACTGCCGCGGTTCTTCGGCTCATCGCAGCATCGCGGTGCTGCCCACCTGTTGCCAAGGGCTGGGAGATGCAGGAACGCCATGGAGGGACGTGATGGGGCCGCTCCATCCCTGCTGCCCGGTTCTGCACCGGCAGCTTGGGGCCAGCGGCCAAGCGCTCACTTTGGAGGAGGAAGGCGGGCCGGTGCTCGGGGTGAGGAGTGCAGGACGAAGGCAAGGAGCGGCTGCAGGAGAAGGGGAAGCACTGCAGGCAGCTGCAGGCGGCAGCACCGGGGATGGGAGCCACGGCAAGACAAAACGCTGCTTTAATTTGCTTCTAAAGCAAATGCTGCACAGCACAAATTAATTCACGCCCGAGCACTGAGCATCTCAGCTTATGAGCCTTTCTTTGGAAACAGTTATATTCAGCGCTCCGAACCACTCCTCCTCCTCCATCTGCTCAGCGAGGGTGAACAAACAAGCCACCGCCGAGCGAGGGAAGGAAGGAAGGAGGGAAGGAAGGAGGGAAGGAAGGAGGGAAGGAAGGCAGGCCACATCTCTGCCTGCAAGGAGAGCCATCCCAGCCCCTGCCTGGGCAGCAGCCGGGCCGGAGCAGCGCTCCCTGCAGCGCGGGGCTCCGTGGCACCAGGAACGCAGCGCTGCAGGGCTGCAGGTCCCGCTCGCTCCCCGCCGCCTCCTCGTGAAGTGGGGCGAGCCAAAGTGCCGCCCTGACTCACAGCCACATGATCAGAGGCTGCGGCTAAAAACGGGGAATTGCTTTACTCACTGTCTTGGGTACAATCTGTTTCTTGGGCTGCCCGATCTTGAACGGGATCCTGGGAAAGAGAGAAGGGAGAGGGGAGGAAAGTGTGAGCAAGAGGAGATGCAGCGAAAGCATCCATGGGGGGAGCGGGGGGTCGATGTGGGGTGGGGATGTGGGGTGGGGATGTGGGGTGGGGATGTGGGGTGGGGACCCCCAGCACGGTGCGGCACCCACTGAGCCCCCAGCCCCCCGAGGCGGCACCCTGCCCTCCTGCCACAGGAACAAAGGCACTGGGTGCTGCTCAACCCGCAGCTGCAGAGCGGGCTGCGTCCCAGCACCGGGAGCAAAGCCGGTAAGGATTCAGCAGGAGGGCATTAAAAGCAGGAGCGATGCGAGCTGCCGCACCTGCCAGCACCGCAGCCCAGATCCCCGCTGAAATCTGGGTCACCCGCATGGTTCCCATAGCGAGTTAGCTCCGAGGTGAGGAGCACCCAGCAATCACTCGGGGCAGCCCTGCCAGCTCCTTACAGCCCTGAGAACCGCCGGGTTTTTATTCCACCGATAAGCAAGAAGAAAAGCGGGATCCTCCGGCTGTTAACTGAGCCCCGGCTGTTAACTGAGCCCCGGGGGCGACGCTCCATCCCAGCCGCTCGCCCAGAGCCTCCCGCACAGCGACAATTTCAGCCCCGCCGCAGGGCAGCCAGCGCCTCGCAGCCCAGCTGCCCCGAACCCAGCGCTGCGCCGCAGCCCCGAGCCGCCGCCGTCCTCGCCGCCGCCCGAAGCCGCGCCGCTCCGCCGCCCCGGGCCGCCCTGCCTGCAGGAAGGCGCCCCCAGCTCAGCGCACGGCGCGGCACGAGGCCGCCCGCCGACCCCGGCCCTCCCCGCCTCCGCCCAGCCGAGCTCTGGCACCGTTTCCAAACCAACGGTGTAATTAAAGCCGCCGGTAACGAAGCCGGGGCGCCGACCTGAGTCACCGCGATAAGTGCACGCTTTGGGCACCGCTTCCTGTTTATCGTCCTCCCCTTCAACCGATGGCATTTTGGGCTGTCAGCCCTCCTTTAGAAACAAACGCTCTGCGGTGTGTCATTACGGCCCGCTGCCCGGCCGCGCGGTGCCTTACAGGAAACGAGCGCCAAAAAGGAGAGAAAAAACACGGATTTTTCTCTATGTTTTCCTGCGTGGGGTCAAATATAAACGCAGCCGAGGTGCCCTGCTGCCCCACGGCGTGTGCTGTGCATCAGGATGTGCCAGGATGGGGCACTGCGAGCCGCGGGTGGGCAAAGGGTGGCACGGCACAAGTGGGGAGAAAAAGGCACAACTGAGGCCAAAAGTGCGAGCTGCAAGTGGGGGGAAGGAGAGAGAGGTCATGATGTGGGGCTGGGGGAAGGGGAGAGAGGTCATGATGTGGGGCTGGGGGAAGG